CCCTTGTCTCTTGACAGGACCTGAAATAAAGTCTGTTGTCTGTTAGCCTGGGGGGTTTGGCCCTGACCAAGACCAGGACAGCCCTGAGAGCCACCTGGGGAGGAGCTGCGTCTGGCTGCCATGGTGGGAGCTCCCTGGGTGGTGGGCCTGGCCTTGGTGGCCTGAAAGGCTGGGCCCCAGGACACCTGGGTTTTGTCTCCACCCTGTTCCTGGAATCAGTGATGCCCGGGGAAGGGGCATTCCCCAGAAACTGGACATTCCTCTCTCGGCAGTCACTCGGTAGGACAGGGAAGCGGTGGGAAGGGAGGGTGGCCCAGGTGACATTCTGACACCCACACATGCCCTGACAGTGTCCCTAGGACGGGATGCCTTGAGCTCCCGTGCGGCTTTACTCATGCCATGAGGCTGAGTCCTGGGTTTGGAGGTATGACCTGTCTGTGAGTGTCTCCGGCTATTAAACTGTGTGCCCCCCGAGGGCAAAGTGCTGTGGTATTCACCTACGCAGCCCCAGGCCTTGGCACAGCGCCATGACATGCTGATAGCGCTGAGCAGAAGCGTATGGAATGAAGAAGCAGCCGGCTATGCCAGGCAGCACCCCAGCCCTCCCCCAGCATCCGCCAGCCCTGCTTTTCTGGCCCAACACCAGCCCCGGATGTCTCTGTGGCCCCTCAGCTCCCCACAGCCCTCCCCTCCCCAAGGCACCAGCGCTCCTTAGCCCAGAGAATGACACTGTCACCCACCAGACACCTTTCAGATCCCACCAGCCACAGAGTCCAGCCCAGCCCACCTCCTAGGTGGTTCTTCTAGAACCCAACTCAGCTGTGCTGGTCCAAGTCTGAGCATCCCCATGGCTTGACCAATGGATTCCTCAGCCTCCCTCTTATGGTTCTCCCTGATTCATCCCTGCCTTCGTCCGACGTGCCCCCCACTCTCCAGGAGCCCTGCCTCCCTCCTCCTGCCTGAGACCCTCTGGGGCTCCTGCTGCCCCCAGGGCAAGTCCATAACTCTATAAGGAGAGGCCTTGAGCATCTGGCCCTCACCTGCCTCTCCCCCACACCTCGCTCCAGTCTCCCTCTGGCTCTGGGGTCCAGCTAGGGCCCTTGCTGGCTCCCCAGCACCTGATTTGCCCTCTCCCTTCCTAGAATTGTTTCTTTGCCTCATTGTCTGACCTCCTTGCTGATGCCTCCCCTCTCTAAAGGGTCAGAACTGTGTCTGTCCTATTTGTTGCTGAATCCCAGGACAAAACCTACTATAGGCACTAAGTAAATGTCTGCCACGTGCATGAATGATTGGAGGGTAGGGCAGAGATCATGTGTCTTACGTCTCCTCAGGGAGAGTGCCAGGTTCCGCGCTCAGAACATAGTCAGAGCTCAGGCCATTCAGATCTGAGTGAGTGACGGGAGGTAGAAATAAGAACAAGGTGGGGGGCAGTGACAAAGAGAAGGCAAGTCTGGCAATCGGCACCCTGACTTCTGTCTGAGGATTCACGATGGTCTCCTGGGCAGCCCTGCCCTGTTCCCCCATGCCCACCTCTCCATCATGAATTATTTACCAACAGCGGTTGCAACATACCATTTCAGGTTCAAGGTCATGGATGTTTTCTTTCTTTCTTTTTTTTTTTTAAGATTGTATTTATTTATTTGACAGAGAGAGAGAGAGATCACAAGTAGGCAGAGAGGCAGGCAGAGAGAGAAGAGGAAGCAGGATCCCTGCTGAGCAGAGAGCCCGATGCGGGGCTCGATCCCAGGACCCTGGGATCATGACCTGAGCCGAAGGCAGAGGCTTAACCCACTGAGCCACCCAGGCACCCCATGGATGTTTTCTAAAATACTCATACACCTCTCATTCAAGCCACCTAACCAGCCAGTCAGTGACACTCTGCCCAGGCTCTGAGATGGTCTCTGCCACAGTGTGGCTGCCCACAGCCTCCATGCCATCCTCCGCCCTTAACTAGCTGTGTGGCCACTGACAAATTCTTCAACTTTTCTGCCTCAGTTTCCTCATCTGTGAAGTGGGAATTATACCAGGTGCCTCTCAGGAGAATGAGGAAGACTGAGTGATGCCACCTATGTACCCAGTGCCCCCTGACTCTGGGAGTTAACATTCCCTCCCTGCAGTCACTTCTCCCGAACCTGAGATGGGCATCTGTCCTTCTCACTCCAAGGACAGTATTCTCACCAGTTCGACCAGTCCTACCTGGTCGCTGCACGGGCTGCAAGTCGCAGCAGGGGCTGCTGCAACCCCTGGGGGGGGCTGCAGGGCTGGAGGACCGGCTTGATAGGCTGGCCTCTTCCACAGCTCCCCTGTCCTCCTAACAGCGGCCAAGAACCCAGGAAGCCCGGGGACGCCCGTGAACCCTGGAAGGCACAGGGTTCTGGGGAGCTGGGTGAGGGACACCCCCAGCGTGTCTCTCCCACTCTATTTCACCAGGTCCTCCGGGACCCCAATCCGCGCCCCGCGCCCCGCGCCCCGACGCCCACGCCAGCACGCCCCGCGGGCGCCTCCTGGTGGGAAGCAAAGGCCACCGGCGCGCCTCGCCCGGCCGGGGAACTTCGGATGACCACAGGTGCGACCCCCAACCTTCCGACCCTCGCTGCCTGGGAAGCCCACGACAGCTCGCCCGAACACTCTCGCCGTCCCAGGCGGCCCCCCGGGCAGTCCCCGCCCGCCCCGAACCGCCCCCGTCGGTTACTGACCCATCTTCTTCAGCGCCCGCAGCCCGGGCCTCCTGCTGCCGCCGTCCGGGGGCGCGAGGGCGACGGGCGTCGCGACCTGGGCCGGCACCGAGGGCTCCTCCGGCCGGCGGCGGCAGCTCTTCCAGCGGCCGCACAGCATGGCTCGGTGGGGTCGGGGCCGGGCCGGGCTCTGCGCGCGGGGACAAGGCAGCGGGGACGCCGCTCCGGCCCGGCCCCGGTTCTGCGCACGGTCCCGAGCGGAGAAACTTAGCGGCTCCCGGAGGGAGTCGGGGAGAGGAGGTGTCGGGAGCAGGGAGAGAGGGAGGGACGAGGTCGGGAGAAGGAGGGACCCGGAGGGAGGGGGCGGGGCCGAGGACGGCGCCGGGGGAGGTGCGAGGCGGGGAGCGGGGCGGGGAGCGGGGCGGGGACCCCAGCCCGGGAGGTGTGTCCTCCGTGAGGTGTGGGAAAGGAAGGGGGCCGGCTCGAGTCACCCCGAATCTCCGCGTCCGTCCCCCGCTCTCGAGTCCGCCTCCCCATTCTCCCAGCGATCCTCGGCTCCCGGCCCCACCGATGAGCCAAGCCCCTATTGGGGGTTGAGGGGCCAGCGGAGGGGCCAGGGTTGTCCTCTGGCACAGACACTCCCTCCGTTTTCTGGATCCTGACTTGAGGAGGACTCTGGACCCCTCTCCACCTTTTCCTTCCCTACCCCTCCGGGAGCTCAGAAGGGAGCCGGACAGGGGAGCGAGGCTGCGGCGCAGCTCATCCTGGGCCGAGGGTCCTCGGGCCTGCCCGGAAAGCCGAGAGAACCCCGAGAGCTGAGCCAGGCGGGAGGGCAACCCAAACCGGAGGGGTGGGGGAGCGGGAAGGGATGGGTGGGTGTAGGAAGGCTCTGGCTATGACGTCATAGGATTAACCCTCTCCGCGCCAGACCAGGTGTTGGCCCCTCGGTTTCAGAAGTTTCAAAGTGGGGAAGATGGGGGAGCATTAAGTCTAGAATCCCCGGCTGAACTCCGATTCTGGGTTAGAGGCTTGGATGGGCTGGCGCCCCAGCGGGCTTTCGATTGCCCCGGGAAAGGCCGCCGTGCCCTGTGTAGGTGTCCGTGACATCAATCTGTGGGTGAACGTCGAGTGTGGGTCTTGGTGGCCGTCTCATGTGACACCATCAGAATATTTGTGCTCGAAGGGTGGGATGGCAGAAGACCAACCGTTTTAATGTTGTCTGCCGCAGCTGCCCCAGGTTGGGTGCGGAGAGCCGGGCGCACACCGCCCCTCGGTGGCGGCCAAGAGCATGGCATCTCAAAAAGAAAGCTTACGGGGCGCCTGGGTGGCTCAGTGGGTTAAAGCCTCTGCCTCTGCCTTTGGCTCAGGTCATGATCCCAGGATCCTGGAAACGAGCCCCGCATCGGGCTCTCTGCTCAGCAGGGAGCCTGCTTCCTCCTCTCTCTCTGCCTGCCTCTCTGCCTACTTGTGATCTCTATCAAATAAATAAATAAAATATTAAAAGAAAAAAAAAAGAAAGAAAGCTTACTTCCTCAGGACCTAGATTTGCCACCTACTTGCTCTAGCCCACTTTCAGATATCCTCGACCGAGAGATGCAGCATACTGGTTTGGGTCCTGTCCTCACACCTCCCGGGATATTCTTTCTGCATTTTTTTTAAAAGATTTTATTTATTTATTTGACAGAGATCACAAGTAGATGGAGAGGCAGGCAGAGAGAGAGAGAGAAAGAGAGAGAGAAGCAGGCTCCCTGCCGAGCAGAGAGCCCGATGCGGGACTCGATCCCAAGACCCCGAGATCATGACCTGAGCCGAAGGCAGCGGCTTAACCCACTGAGCCACCCAGGCGCCCTCTTTCTGCATTTTTGATCCCGCAATTTCTTCCTCCAGGAATGACCTTCCTCATTCCTCTCTTGGCTTACACTTACGCGTTCCAAAACTCAGTTTTCAATGCCCCTCCTGCAGAACCCCTCCAGGACCCCCTCTTCCTCCAAGGCATGACTCCCTTTTTTTATCCCCAGCGCCTAGAAGGGCCTGAGGAACTCGGGTGGGTGGGTTCTGCCGGACCTGGGTTCAGCTGACCGAAGCGGGCTTCCACCAGGGGGCGCGAGGACTCTGCGTCGTTTTACTATGTCCACCAGGTGGCGCCTCCTCCCGCCTATGGTCCCCACAAGGTTGGGGAGCCCGCCCGCGGATGTGCCTCGGCTGATTGGGAGACGCACAGCTAAACTATTTGCATAATCTTGAAAGGACCGCGCTGAGTGGTTGAGGTATAGTAAAAGAAGCTGAAACGGGCTTTCTCATTGGTTTAAATTTTCCCCTGCGTCCACATCCCGGTCAGATTGGGCCGGGAGGTCAGTCGGAAGCCTCCGGCTAGTGGCGACAAAGGACCTAGGTCCGGGTAGTGGGCGCTGCAGGGTGAGTGCCTGACAGCCGAGCGGCTGGGATAGGGGACCCCAGGGCAGAGCGGGTGGGGGACTAGAGTGGGAGACTGTTGACCCCGCCCTGACTTCTCTTGGCTTGCCCATTCTCCTGTTTAGGAGTTGGAGAAGTGCATCTAGAGAGGGAGGGACAGAGACCGTGGCACCTGCCTCCACCCACCCACCAGGGTCCTCTCCGCCCACCCTGGCCCCACCCATGCTCCCCTGGGGTTGGAAAAGTAGTCTTCTCAGAACTCCCGGGGTGTCTCACTCGGGTCTAGAGCTTAGCTCGCCCCGCTGGAAAGTGATCAGTGGCGTCCGGAGGTGTGTGCCAGAGTGGACCGTGGAGGTCTGCTCACACGGAGGCTTGTTCTTGCAGAATCACTCAAAAGTGGGTCCCCTGAGCTCGGAGCCACTGGGTATGGGTACCGAGAATGAAAGCCCAGAACCGGACTACCAGAAACAGTTTCAGGCCGCTGTCAGTGTCATTCAGAACCTGCCTAAGAATGGTGAGGGCACCGGGACCTGCCTTTGGGGGTCTACGAGATTGGGGTCTGCCTCTGATCCCTGCAGTTGATGCAGATAAGTACCTGCCCTGGCTACTCTGGGGATCTCATCTCGCCATCTCTGCCCATTACAAGGGTGGTTCTCCCCCCACCTCCAAAAGTGTTGGAGCTGGGAGGGGCCCCAGGCCTGTCTCCACTCTCTTGGAGTTAGGGGTGATGCTCTGCCTTCTACTTCCCACCCGCCTGCCTAGGCTCTTACCGCCCGTCCTATGAAGAGATGCTGAGATTCTACAGCTACTACAAGCAAGCTACCATGGGACCCTGCCTGGTCCCCCGGCCCGGGTTCTGGGACCCAATTGGACGATATAAGTGGTGAGCTCCCTACCAGCAGGGCAAACAAGCCTCAGCTGCCAACCAGCCTCTCACAGCTCTCTGCCCTCAGGGATGCCTGGAACAGCCTGGGCAAGATGAGCAGGGAGGAGGCCATGTCTGCCTACATCACTGAGATGAAGCTGGTGGCACAGAAGGTAGGGAAAGGCCTCAGGCTTCTTTCTGTCCCCGAGGTCCCAGCTAGGTGGCCTGTCTTCTGCCCTTCTGGGACTGACCCCCATTATGTTTCCTGCACATTGACACACCTGAAGGAATTCCCACGTTCGTGCTCCGTCCCCAGCCCTGCCTGTCTCTGGTCCCTGACTGGGCACAGGGTGGAGGGGCATGACAGGGCAGGAGCAGGGCGGAGGAGATCCAGCTCAAGAGGGGATAGGAGGACAGTGGTAGGAGAGACCAGCCCCTACCCAACAGACCTCCTCCCCCACAGGTGATCGACACAGTGCCCCTGGGCGAGGTGGCAGAGGACATGTTTGCTTACTTCGAGCCCTTGTACCAGGTGATCCCTGATATGCCGAGGCCCCCGGAAACCTTCCTGAGAAGGGTCACAGGTCAGGCCTCCAGGCTGTGAACGCCACAAGTGCTGAGTGAACTTCCTCAGGTCCAGGCGGAGGGGGCTGCTGCTCAGTTGGAGGGGGATTTGAGGGAAGAGGGCCCCAGGTGATGTCCCTGTAGGGACTCCCAACCAGTGCCCCTGATGGAGTGGGTCTCAGACAGAGCTCATGACTGATGGGGAGCAGGAGCCAGTCTCAATGGGAGGCGCCAGCCTCTTCCCACCCCCACCTCTGGGTGCTGTGTCTCAGCAGGCTGGAGAGAGCAGGCCCTGAATGGAGATGTTGGGGATGCCCCCGAGCCTCCCTGCCTCCCCAGGAAACCAGCACCCCCAAGTCCAGGTCAGTGCCTGGGCTGGAGGGGCAGAGAGCCAAACCCAGAACAGGGGTGGGTGGGGGGCTTTCAATAGGGTGGGTAAGGGGAGAAGGCTGGATGCTACACCCCATACCCACAGATACTGAGACCTGCTGTCCGTGCAAAGGCCCAGGGGCAGGTTCTGGGATTCCACTTCCGGGACCTCGCTCCTAGGACCCATCTCTGCGTCTTGTGGCAGTGTCTCTAGTGTCCCCTGAACACGTGCCTCTGTCCCATTGTACACCCCTCTCCTTCTTCCATGGCCTCCCTTTTGTCATTAATTTTACCTCTCTCCCTGCCCAGAGTCCCAGCCACCTAGGGACCTGGACTCTGAGGTTTTCTGTGATTCCTTGGAGCAGCTGGAGCCTGAGCTGGTGAGACGACCCCTGGTTCCCTGCCTTCCCCACCCCACTGCCCCCCAGCTGCTCGACCCCCACCCTGGCATCTTGTGCCTCATCTCAGCAGGTGTGGACGGAGCAGAAGGGATCCCCTGGAGGACAGCCTGACACCCGGACCAGCTCCAGGCTCCCTGAAGAGAGAGGTGAGCCCTTGCCGACCCCTCACCCCCTTCTGCCCTTCCCTCTGGTTCTGGCTTTCCCCTGACTGCCCTCTTGGGGCAGAGGTCAAAGTCTGGCACTGGGCATTTGCCAAACAACCAGACACCAGCCTGGATGGGCAAAGTCCCTGCCCGGCCCCCTCTCTGTGTCCTCTTCCCATGTGAGACTGTCAAAGGACAGTGATTTTTGCTTTATCTCCTTCTAGAACTTCCAGTGTGCCATGCCTCTTAAGGGGCACTTTCATAAATATTATCTCCTTTATTCCTCTGAGTAAGCAGCCCTGTGAAGTCAATGACCTCTTCCCCTAATTTTCAGATGGCAAAATGAGGTTCAGAGAAGTTTCTGGCTTACCCAAAGTCACACAGCTAAGTGGCAGTGCTGGGATTCAAACGCGTGGCAGCCTGTTGCTCAGCCACTCGGATGGACTTTATAAAATGGACACTTTCCAAGGGATTGCTCTCTAGGTTTACTTTGCCCCAGACCTGCCCTGGCCTGCCACCATCCTGTCCCTAGCTGAGTTGCCTCCTGAGTCCCCTTCCTTGTGTGTCTGTGCTGGGCAGAGGGCAGCGTGCTGGGGCCCCAGGAACTGGACACGTGGCTGGCGGGAACAGTTCGGGCACTGCAAGAAAGCATGCGGGACGTCCAGGCGAGACTGCAGAGCCTGGAGAGCATGTCTGGCCTCCCGAAGCAGGTGAGCTGCCCCCAAGGCCCAGGGCATGATTGAGGCAGAATGCCGCGGGTCTCTACTCCAGGCCCCTCGTGGAGCCACTTCCGTCTTTTTGTCCTAATTCCCCAGCTGCCGGCCATCTCTGACTTCTGCGGAGAGTGGTGTGGCTTGTTATCACGGGCAGCACAGCCCCGGGGACTGAAGTGCTCCCACCCTGGAAGGGGGAGTGGGAAGGGCCCTCCTTTCCTGCTCTTCCCTCCCTCTGCCGGGGGAGCACCTGAGCCAGAGGGCTAATTCCAACAGTCTGGAAGGCCAGGACGTGCCAGCTGTTTGCACGGGGGCTGGAGGTCCCTGTTGTCCCTTCGTCAGGACCCGGCTTTAGGGTTTGCTCCCAAACAATTCAGCCTGTGCACCCCTCGCTCTCTCCCCTCTACTTCTAGATCCGCTTGCCCCTTACACCTGGGCTCCTGGGCGCCTGCACCGTCGGCTCCCAGAGCCCTTACTGAGTGCCAAACACAGGACTTAACATTATCTCATTTAATCCACACAACACACAATGAACTAGGTTTGCTTTTCATCTCCCTTTTACAGAAGAGAAAACGGGATCTCGGGAAGGCTGGGTAATCCAGCCCAGAGGAACCTCACAGAGCTGCTGTGAGGGTTAGATGAGATAATGCACCCCCCCAACCACCCCTCTCCAGGAAGGTCTTCTCCAGTGGGCTCCACTGTATACTATTACTATTATTATTAACATCAAGTGATGGAGCTGGGAGTGGCCCCAGGTCTGTCTCTCTCGGAAGCCGGGACTCACCGAGGACTCCTGTTCTTGAGACGCCTGGGGTCACGGGGGCAGGAGACTGATGAATTGCTGGATGTGGGGGTTCGCCTGAGTGACCCCTGACCCCCTTGACACCGTGGGTGGCAGCCAGGGGGCAGGGATTTTGCTTCAGATTCACCTTTCAAGGCCCACCCCTTCGAGGCCTTCTCATTTATGTGACCTTTAGCTAATTTTACATGCCGAAGATTTTAAAGACTTGCACCCCAAAACAGCTGGTTTTCCAGCTCTAAAAATAAGAACATTCTACTACCTAGCCCAAACGACAACATTTTAGCACACCCAAGTCCTTCGTACCATCAAATCCTCGCTCCAAACTGAAATCTCCCCAGTAGTCCCGAAATGGCCTTTGCCAGCTGCTCTGTCTGTCCGGTCCCCGGGGGGCATGTGCTGCAATGGGCTCCTCTGTCCTTTAAGACTCCTTTCATCTAGACCAGCCCTGCTTCCTTGCTACTGACTTATCGGGACTGGGCCAGTGCTGTGGTCCTGGAGAATGGTCCTTTTTGGGTCTTTCGGATGACATCCTCATGGCTGGCTAAGTTTACATGACCAGATTATGTCAGACGTGATGTTCTTCACATTGGGGGGACACAGGTGTGGATGTCCTGCCATGAATGATTCTCGCATGGACCACTAGCATGGATGAAGGGGTGACAGTTGGGTCCCATCACTGTTGGAGCCAAGGAAATGTCCAGCTCCCCCATTCACTCCACTGGCCCTGCGATTTTTGACAATTGATGGATAATCCTTGCCTGGATCAATAATTTACTTGGGCAAAAAAATACTGACTTTTAAATTTTATTATTCCTTTTTTTGTTTTTTAAAGATTTTATTTATTTGAGAGAGAGAGAGTGGGAGAGAGCATGAGAAGGGAGAAGGTCAGGGGGAGAAGCAGTCTCCCTGTGGAGCTGGGAGCCCAATGTGGGACTCCATCTCGGGAGTCCAGGATCATGACCTGAGCCGAAGACAGTTGCTTAACCAACTGAGCCACCCAGGCGTCCTTATTATTCCTTTATCATATCTTAGGTGTCACTTTTCTGTAGCGTGTCATCCAGGATTTCCCTGAAGTTCAGTGCCTTATGGAAAGGCAGAATAAAGGCTTAATTCTTCCTTTTTAATCACCTATTTTAAAGTGAGGAGTGATTTAATGGCTACCTCAATAGTGACAGATTTCCAACTTTCCCTTTGCATATCATTATGGACTAATGGATTTTAAAGATTCAGTATTTCAATCAACAGAAAATTCTTTGTGATGCTTACATTGTCACAATTTTGGTCAATGGAGACCCTTTCAAGCTGGGTCCTACGTTCTCATAACGTGACCTCATTAATCTTTAAAAGCTTCCTTGCTTTCTGGTACAATATGTCCCACATTCACCTTGACCTTCCCTGCTCCAGACCTGGAATTAGCCACTTCTCCAAGGAGTCCTGGCTCTTTTTAGCAGAGAATGATTTTGAGAAACGAAAATCTGAGCACCGTTTGAAATATGTGGTACATCCTTTATCATATTGGGTGTTCATGCCCTACGAACAGTGGCCCGGAAGAGACAGCCTAGAAGCCAGTCTCTCCGGCACCTGGGATTGTCCTGGGAGGAGGATGTGGGAGGGAACTGGAGGTCGGCTGTCAGGGACCCACTAGGAACCCCAGGATCTCTGCAGATTTGGGTGTAGTGCCTGCTTTGCCCCAGTTCTTACAATCTTAGGGAGGCAGGTCCCCCAGACGAAGCTCCCACTTAGTTCTGGTAGCAGGTTCCTCAAGAGGCCCCAGTCGGTGCTGAAGCCTGGGCTGGTCCCTGACTCCCTCCCTCTTGGCAGCAGAGGACCCCGCCCAGTGCCCGGCCACGGCCCTTCAGGCTCTCGGGTCCCACGCTGCTCTTCTTCCTCCTGTGGCCCTTCATCGTCCAGTGGCTCTTCCGACAGTTTCGGACCCAGAAGAGGTGACTCTCAGTGGAGGGGTCTCTGCAGCCAACTGAGGTGGCTATGAGCCCCCTGTCCTGCTGTGCCCTGAGCCTTCCTAGGGTTTAGGAGAGGAACAGCATTAACTCTGTCCCCCCAACCAGTTGTTTGCCTTTGCACCGCTCCCGTATTGGGCGGGGGGCGGGGGGCATTTAAGAGCCCATCCTCCCCCGCGACTTCACACGGACGCGTTTCCCCTCCCACCCAAACACCCAGGTTCCCTGGGGAGGGTGTGGGAGTGGTGCACGTCCCCGCTTCTGGGTTGGCCGTGACTCGGAGGCGGGGCTGCCCGGTCTCAGCCTCTGCCCTCCCCTCCCTCTGGGTCACCTGACTCTTCTCCCACCCCAGCTTCTCCCGGTGGAGGGCCAGCTCTTGGGCAAGTTGGGACTTGGGCTGGGACCGGGAAGAATGATTGGCTGAGAGGCTGAGGGAGGGAGGCCAGGAGGCCCGGCCGAGTTGGGGGGAGGGGAGTGAGCTCCGTTTTGCCGGCCTCCCTCCCACTGCGCGCACACACACACACACACTCAGGACGTCTTCGGGGAAGATTCACTTACAAATGAATGTTTCACTAAATAAAATAAGACCTTAATCTTCTACCGTCTGGGTCCCCATGGAGTGAGGCGGGAAGCCGGGTCCGGGCGCGCAAGGCACAAGCCTCTTCCCTGCCTCTCCCCTAGTGCCCCCAGGACAGTCCCGGGAGTCCGGCACAGGAGCCGGGAGCACAGGGGCCCGGGGCCGAGGGGGGCAGGGGTGGAGAGCGGACGGGGCGGCCGAGGGAGGGGCGCGGGGCCCGCCGCTGTCGCCGGGGGTGGGGCCAAGGCACGGCTCCGCCCCCCGCCCGGCAGAGCAGGGTAGTGCGGAGGAGAGGGAGGCCGTCCCCGCCCGGAGAGAAGGGCGGCTGCTCGTAGGCCGGAGCGCGGGCGGTCAGGATGGGGCCCCGGGCCCCCCGCCCCGGAAATGCCCACCGCCCGCTTCCCCCTCCACAGCTGCTCGCTCCCGGTGCCCCCGCCCGTGACCTCCGCGCTCAGGCTTTCCCAGGGAACTTTCTGGAAGGCCAAGACCCAGCGGGGGCCTAGTCCCCGCCTTGCCCTGAGGAGTGGGGGCGGGGTCGGGCGCGGGAGCCCCCGTGGAGGTGGGCAGAGCGCCCGCGTGGGCACAGACTGTGGGTGCCGCCGGCTGCTCGGGTTCCGAACTTATTTTTCTCACCGCCTGGCGGCCTTGGTCTCCCTGTGGTATGCGACAGCCCTGTCGCTCCCTCTCCCCTTTCGCCCTGCTCCCCGCCCCCCCGCCCCCAGCAGTGGCCGGTATTCGGTGGAGAACCCGCCACTCTGAGCGCCTTCTAGTTTCAGCGCGGGAGAGGCCACTGGCCAAGGGCCCCAACAGCAGAGGGCCACAGCAGCCTTGGGCCCTTGCAGCTGCCACCGCCTGGGCCACAGGACCTTCCTGCACCCGGTGAGGAAGAAGCAGTTTTGAAAGCCCCTTCTTGGAGACCCTTAAACTCCTGAGTTCCGTGTATCCGCCCCTAGCCTCTGGCCTTGACCGCTACCAAGGCTGGCTATCATTTGATCCACTGGGAGCCTCAGTCACTCTGTCAGTCCTCCTCTCAAGGAGGGGAGGGCGTCCCTCTGGGCAGACATACAGGCCCAGGTGCTCTACGGTCCAGCCCAGGGGCAGAAAGACTAAATAAACCCTTGTGTTACAGATGGACAACAGCAGGAGAGGGACCAAAGTGATGCTAGGGATGCAGGAAAGGGTACAGTAGCTGTGGGACTTGGGCAAGATCCTTAACTGCTCTGAACCTGGGTTGCCTTGTTGGTGAAATAAGGATGAAGATCTCATCATTAAGGCAGTCCTGGGTTTTTTGTTTTAAGATTTTATTTGTCAGAGAGAGCACAAGCAGGGGGAGCAGCAGGCAAAGGGAAAAACAGGCTCCCGGCCAAGCAGGGAGCCCCATGAAGGACTCGATCCCAGGACCCTGAGATCATGATCTGAGTGGAAGGCAGACACAACTGACTGAGCCACCCAGGCATGCCCAAGTCATGTAAAATGCTTGGCAGTGGGTTAAAACTCAGCTAATATCAAGGTGCCTGGCCTCTTGTTTGACGGAATTCTAGAATTCCACAACCTATCACTCTGCCCACCACTCCCCACATGTGACAGATGAGCCCTCTCCAGTAAACTGACAGTGGCTGGGCTCAGCTGTACCTCTCAATCCCCCTGAATGAGGGTACCCAGGAGTCCTCTGGGAGTTAAAGAGATCTCTGACTCCCATTCAAGTTCTCTGCAAAACCTCTCTTCCTCAGGGAGCTCTCAGTGTGAGGGGCAGCTTTTGCTCACAGGGGGGTCTCCTGCATGACTGATGAAGGAGCACAAAGAACAGCAGCTTTTTCAGATGCAGGGAGTTCTTGGAAGCCCAGGAACTGGAGTGGTCAATTTCAAAACAGCTGGCATTCTTGCTTGCTTCTCCTTTGGGGCATGCCCATCACCACTTCCCCATGGAACCACTCCTGAGTTCTAGACGAGTCCTTTCTTTGGACATGATGCTTGTTCTTTACAGAATGCCCTTCTTCATGCTACTGGGCCTGAAATCCCTTCATCCTTCTGAGGGAGCCAAGAAGACATGTCCCCCACAAATCCTGTCCACAATTCCCAACTCCTGAGCAGCTTGGTTCACAAGGTCTTTGCCAGGATTTTCTTTATTTGTCATTTTGGCTCAGCGTGGTTTAATGGCCTCTCCACAGTGTCCATAAGCAGCAAGGATGGCATTTTATTCATCATTGTTTCTTCCTAGCAAATGTTTGCTAAATGAAGAAATGAGGGCTTTAATTAAGCTAAAGCTGTTGGAAATGGAAAGGAACTAATTCCAAAGTTCTTGAGAAAAGGAATTTTTTTGTGAAAGAAAAGTGACTCAAGGGTCACAAAGGCCTTCGTTCTAGCAAGAATTGCCACTTAGTTGTCATGGGACCTTGGACAAGTCACTTTATTTCTCATAATCTCAGAGATTTCTTATCTCTAAAATGGAGACAATCATTCCTACCCTAACTCACTGGGCTGTGGTGGGGTCAAGTGATCCTGCGTAAAGAACTGTTGTATGTTAGAAAGAGGTCTGCATGTAAGATGTTGCTATTAAGAAATATGAATGGGTCACGGGTGTGCGGCAAGAGGGAGAGGCTGTTACTACACTGAGATTTTAGGCCTAAATGATTAGAGCAGAGTTTGGGCTACCCCAGGATCCTGTTCTCCGGGCTGGAGCTCGGAATCTGGAGAATTTTCTCAAGGAGACTGTGTCACCTTCCCTATCCCATAAGTCTACCCCCAAAGTCCTGGGCCAGCATCCCCCTGCCCTCATTTCTAGGCAACACCTCCTCTTTGGGGAAGCTTCTGGTTCCGTTCCCTCCCAGTGCTGCCCAGCGCCCATGGATGAAGAAGAGCCCTTCTCTTTCGGCTAGCCATGGCTGATTATTTAAACTCAGGATTAATTTTGAACCTGCTCCCCCGCCTCCCCCCAAAGAGGTCCATCAGCGGGCCCAGACTGTCTTGTCTGAGCTCAGGAAATGTTCCCAGTCAGCTCGGAAGTGAAGAGACCCAGTCAGCCCCAGGAGGCCATTTTCTTCGAGGGAAGCTGAAGCCCCGGGGCGCGGCCTTCCCACCCCGGGTCTTCTGGGGGCCCCAGGTGCACACCCCGCGCTTCCCGGATCCCCACCCAGGCAAGAGGTTCGGTCACGGCCCACCGGCCCACCATTTTGCACTGGTCCTCGGGCGGCCGCGGCCCTGAAAGAGTAGGCCTGGGCTGGGGATCGGCCACTTTGGTCCAGCGGTAACAAGGCCAGAGGGTGGAAGTCATCAGGGACTCGAACCTGCCTTCTCATCCTCCGAGGCCTAGTCCGGGGTTGCTGCACTAATGCAGTCACACTGTCCCTTTAAGGCGGCACTTTTTATTCTTCATTTGTTTACTTCTTCATACGCTTTTCGTCTTACAAAATGCGTTCACAATATCCTTCCGCAAATGTCAGCCCCAGGCATTAACCACACACATCTTGCAGCCCATTCCTGTAATCTTAAGAATCGAGAGTTATTAGCCACAGGCCAACATCTCTCTTTATAGGATTTAATCTTCTTTTACACTGTAGGGACTACTTTTTAGGGATAAACCATTTTGGCTTTAGCTAACAAATGTTTATAACCTTCGGAACCCTTCCGCTGAGGACAGACTATGATAATACCCTTTAAAACGCACCTTTTCATAAAAATATTCTGTGTAGGCCCTCAGAGGCCATCGAATCTTCTCGTATTCCTGAAACAGAATGGTATGGTCCAAAGCCCGCCCCATCTTCTCTGGAATTGGCTTTCCTTCTTCGGCGAGACGTGCGACTCCTGGCCAATGGTCACCCACGTTTCTCTAGCGAGGGCTATGCGATGGAAGGAGGCGGCCTGGAAGTCACCGCCTGCGCGTTCTGGGATTGGCTACGTCGCACGGCGCGCTAGGACGGCGGGCCTGAGGGATGGGAACTACGACTCCCAGCTTCCTGACATGGGAACTCCGTTACGCATGCGCATGGGCGGGGCGGACAGGCTTCTATATAAAAGGGGCGCAGAGGGCTTAGAGACAGCAGTTGGAAGTTGGCAGGTGGAGAGGCAGGTTGGGAGGGGAAGTTGGGGGGGAGGAGGCGGAAGAGTTACTGTCGGAGGGGGGGGGGAGGGAGGGAGGAAAAAGAGGAGGAGGCGGTGGAGATCTGAGCAGAGCCGAGCATCGAGCTAAGGGGGAGATGAGTTTGTCTGTCCTCAGCTGAGGCTCCGGCCGGGCCTAGGGAACTGGGAGCTCGGGTTGGAGCGACACCCGTGGAAGTGGGAGGAGGTGGCTCTGGGACTTTAACCCCTTGTGGGCTCTGCGGCAGGGGATTTAACCCTTTGTGGATTCGGCCCTCGGAGGCAGCGTCATCGGGTAGTTTTAACCCCTTCGGGGCTGGGTTTAACCCGTTGGACTTAACCTCATCTCCTTGCCCACCAACTCGATTGTGGGGGCGCTCTGCGGGGAGGCTTGAGGTCCACCCCCTTTGCACATTACGTACTGTTACTGCTGCTGCACCCCCTTGGACCCGCTAGCTGGCCGCGCTGTGGGCGCTTAACCCTTTACTGACTTGAGCTCTCCCAAGTTGCATTTGGAGTTTGTTTACAGAAGGACTGGCTAAAGGCGTCACTGCAGCAATTACAAACCGAAGAGGACTCTGCTGGACATTTTTAAAAGGAAAGGAAACCTTCTCTTCTTCTTAAGGACTTACAGCCAAAATTTTTCAAACTTCGAGAAGAGGACTCTATTAGCCATGGCCGAGCCACTCTTGTCAGAATACCAGCACCAGCCTCAAAATAGCAACTGTACAGGTGCTGTTGCTCTTCACGATGAGCGGAACCCCGATCGCCCCCCAGGAGCGGAGGAGCGGGTGCCCGAGGAGGACAGTAGGTGGCAATCGAGAGCGTCCCCC